TTTAATCCCAGAAAGCCAGCCTTTAATCCCAGGGAGTGGTGGTAGAAAGTAGAAAGATATATAAGGCGTGAGGACCAGAAACTAGAGGCATTTGGCTGGTTAAGCATGTGGCTGGTTAAGCTTCAGGCTTTGGAGCAGCAGTTCAGCTGAGATTCATTCGGGATGAGGACACAGAAGCTTCCAGTCTGAGGAAACAGGACTAGCTGAGGATCCAGCGAGGTGAGATAGCTGTGGTTTGTTCTGTCTCTCTGATCTACCAGCATGGACCCCCGATAACTCACCTCAGGTTTGATTTTATTAATAAGTACTTTTAAGATTCCTGCTACATTTAATTTAATTTTACATATCAGCCACGGATTCCCCTGTCCTCCTCCCTCCCGCTCCCACCCTCCTTCCCCCCAGCCCACCCCCCATTTCCATCTCCCAGGGCAAAGACTCCCCTGGGGATTGAGTTCAACCTGGTAGATTCAGTCCAGGTAGGTTCGGTCCCCTTCTCCCAGGCTGAGCAAAGTATCCCTGCATAAGCCCCAGGTTCTACACAGCCAGCTCACACACTAAGGAAAGGTCCAGGTCCCACTGCCTGGGTGCCTCCCAAACAGTTCAAGCTAATCAACTGTCTAACTTATCCAGAGGGCCTGATCCAGTTGGGGACTCCTCAGCTATTGGTTCATAGTTCATGTGTTTCCATTAGTTTGGCTATTTGTCCCTGTGCTATTCCCAAGCTTGGTCTCAACAGTTCTCACGAATGCAATCCCTCCTCTTTGTCACCAACTGGACTCCTGGAGCTCTACCTGGGGCCTGGTCGTGGACCTTTGCATCCACTTTCCTTAGTCATTGGATGAGATTTCAATAATCACTCTTAGCATACATTAGGAATTCAGCTAACCAGTTTTCATTAGTGTACTGACCTTAATAAATCTCCTAAAGCACTATGTAATGGGTAGCTGTTCCAACTTGGACCTGGAAGTACTACCTGCATTGAGGCTTCCAGTAATTGTCACACCAACGAGGCAGGGCCAAGAGAGGAGCCCTTAAGACACAAGATCTGGATGTGCTGGCTCTCCTGGTTCCTGGATCCTATACACTGGATGTAGATTGAGCAGAGTTCTCCAGAGAACACTGCTGGGCTGCACTACACCTTTCCTAGACCCTGTAACCTATCCCTTTACTTTTAAGTTACCTCACAAAATAAACCTCCCTTTTAACTATGTAGAGTTGCCTTAATACTTCCACCAATAGCACTATACACTTTTCCTAGGGAAGACAGTTACCCAGGTGTGTTGCAAATCACCTACCATTATTAACTCTGATATTTACTAATGCTAGATCAATAAGAAAGTTTGGAGGGCTGAGTACTCTTTGTTCCCTCACATGTAAATTTTTAAAACGAAGCTTCATTCTAAGTGTCTTCACCTTGTTAGAAAAGGGGGATACATTATCAGTAACTATGAACTGCCCAGCCTAAATCTCTTTGATTCCTTAGCCAGACATGGAAAGGGGCACAAATGTGCCCACTCTTTCCATTATTTGAACTATAAGTGTTGACTTCATAGATGTGGGAAACTATGGATAATGTGAGCAAACATGAAAAAATGTGGATGGTGTCTGAGTGATGAAGACACATGTAAAAACAATATCACCATGGGAAGAAAATATGATGCTTTTTTTTATAGGCATCTCTGTTTTAAAAGGTTGCTGTACTGTTCTGTGTGAGGAAAGATATTGAGATCACAAGAAGTTAGTCATGACGGAAATCATTTCCACGGGATGGCATGGAAAAATGACCCCAAACTCCCGGCACAGAGCTTTACTCATATGCTGTCAGAACATCATCCCTGGCGACTTATCTACAATCCAGAAGTCTCATGTCACATTGCAAAAATGTCTTTAGAAATTAACAACAAAAAATTAACCCACTGTAATAAAGATGCACTAGCCATAAAATGAATCAAGTTCACAACTAATGTTGTGATATAAAGGGTACTCTTACCATGTTCCTTCTTAGCAGCCATTACTCCGGGACTATTAGAAATAAGTTCATAGAAAATGAACACATACAAACGGGACCTGAGGGACAAATGTAAAGTTAAACTACATTTGCAGGAATAATAAGGCTTTCACAAATTTGAAATAACAGTTGGCTATAATACTAAAATCTAAATTGTTAACAAAAATTGGTAATAATTCTGATTTTTTAATGTTTTCTGCAAGTTCTGAGAACTTATTTATATAGAACTATGTCATAGCATATATAAGGAGCTATACATCCAAGCAGTAAGTATTACCCTTAAAAACCTCATGTGACAGTAGAAGGAACAGGAAATACATCATTTAACATACACATAGAGGGGCTGGAGACGTGGCGTAGTGAGTGAAATGCTTACCTCGCAAGTGTAAGGATCTGAGTTCTGATCTCCAAAACCAAGTTTAAAAATGCTTGATGTGATAATTAGCTTGAAATCCCCATCCTGGAAAAACAGAGACATCTGATTACCTGGAGCCCTGTGGCCAGCCAGCTCAGACTACTCATATGACCAATAAAAAAACACTGTCTTAAGAAAAAAAAAAAAAAAGATGTCTCCTGGGGAAAGGAGTTGAAGTAATTCTCTGGCATCCCTATGTATGTGCACATGTACTTGCATACACATGATCACCCTGTACACACAGGAGCACTCATGCAAGAGTGTTCTACATACATACAAAAACAAAAGGAATATAAATAATAAATAAGCTAAAATATACACATCCACACAAATACAAAAACTGTAACATATACAAAAAGCTATAGACAATTTAAATAAAGCCCTCTAAGAAGAAATAGACCATTCTGTTTAGAAAAGCCACACAGCTTTAGAAACCTTGACATTATCAGACACTCTTTGTGGTTATTGCTGCAATAATGATATGCTGTAGTTCTTAGGATCTGGGGTCATTTTGAGGCAAAGATAAGATCACCCAGGACAGTGTCATCACTGGGTCTGGATTTCCTTATTTCATAGGAATAGAATAAACCAGTGTAACAGTTAAGAAAGAGCCTTTCAGTGTGACTTTGCCAACTGATACTTAGAACTGGAATTCTGTGAGTTCACAGGTACAGTGATTCTGAAGGGTCTAGAAGGCAGAATTTCACAGAAGTCCTCTCTAATGTGATCAAAATAAACTGCATACATGTATGAAATTCTGAAAGACTGAATAATTCTGAAGTCAAGCTAAGGATTTTTTTTGTATTGAATCTGATATCATGATGGATTTGTTCACACTCTTACTTGTGTCTTAACTTAACACATAAAATTATGATAACTAGTGAAGAATTTCATAAAGTGATTTTCATACATCTGCATTATGCATTTTGACCACGTTCACAACACACCCTCCCTTCTCACCTCTTCACAGTAGTTTCTTCCTTCCAGAAAAATCTTATAATTTTACTTCTATTTTCATTTTACATATTCACCCTTAGTTTGATCCCCCTACAACGTAATTTCTTGAGATTTCTTCCCATGATTTTAATTTAACCTCTCCTTCATTAAAACTAAGTATATAAATAATGATGCAAATCTTTCATATGGCTAAATTCAGTTGTCAACACATCCTTGAAAACAACTGGTTGCATTCTGCACTGAGACACTTTCTAAACTTAATTATGGAAAGAGACATATTTAAAAAGGGAAACTTATTATTGTGATGAGGACTCACAATGCCGTGTTCTTCAAACTTGTATCAGAGAACCCTTTACTTTTCTGTTCAGCCTTTCCTGATACTGCTTGAGTGTTTCTGTTTCTATTAAGAGGCAATTATTATCCTTTGTGGAAAATTCCCCTCAAATGTGTAACATATTTTAAAAAGTAATAGCGGGGGGTGGTAGAACTTCTACAAGCAAAGTGACCCACCTCAAAGCATCATCATTGCTTTTGTTGTTCCTGGTCCATTTCCATGGACCAGCTCCATTGCTAGTCTCTTTGTGTCTGTTGTTGTTGTTGTTTTAAGCTTAAATTATTGAGCTTCTTTGCTATAAAATTTTAATGGGAAATTATACAAAAGATTTTTAGGTGTTTGTTTGTTCAAGGGGATTTTCTTGTTTTGTTTTATCTTGATGATAGAGAAAAAAAAGTTTCTTGGATGAAAAGGAAGAAAGAAATGAGTCTATAGATAGGAATTGGGGTTGCATCTTGTCAACAGGCGGCTTGATTCGTTGATTCCTGCATGTGTTTAAAATCAAAAGACAGAGCAGAATCTTTGCATAATTTATAATGTCAATACACTGCTCACCAACATAGCAAAAATGGTATATGAAGCCATTTAAAGAGATGGTAATTTCTCTTACTAAAGGGAGAAACATATTTTATGCCAAAGTTGGCTGTTTTCTTTTACTGGAATATACAACATTTTGGAAATATAAAATTGTATGATAAATTATGAGATTTACACATCCAATAAAAAGTATATGACTTAATACTCTTTAAGTGGATTGACTTTATGATCAGTAATTAGTTCTCAGTTAAATATTAAATATCAAATCCATATATGTAGTATAATGTAATTTTGTTAAAATTTTTATTCACAGCTGAATGATAAATTCTTGCTTGGATACAAATTAACAATGACAGAAAAAAATGCCCTGATAATATGTGCAGTTTTGTTCAAAAAACCGCTTCCATATATCCTTCTATTCTGCCTTCCTGTAATTTTTGAATAATATATTAAAAAACATATAATACTTTTATAATCAGATAAAAAGAACAGAGTTGAAACATAAATGGAATGATTAGCCTACATTTGTAAAACAGTAATTCTTTAGTGTACTGAACTTAGCGTGTCTCAAATTCTGATTCTGACTGCCAGGCCTAGCCTCTTAACCATTAATCCACGCACACCCATTGTGAAGTGTCACATCTCAGAAGAGAAACAAAGCTAAAAGGATCATGATTTATGTACAGCCTATATATTTGAGAACCTGCTTGACCACTTCTCAATCAATTTTCCTAGGAAGAGAAAAAGTCACCCTCAAGCTGTGGACTTTCAACTTCTGAGCTCTGCCCCAGGAAATGTCCTGGGCAACAGGAAGATATAAGGATACCTGGTCTCCAAGCAACCTGGCTCCCATTTAGCACGCAGCTTCATAAAGCTTAACGAGGACTGGCTATCTCCTCCACTTGGGGAGCGACTAGGCTCAGTGGGAACAGGGTGTTCTGGGTTTTGTACCATGTGAATGAAGAGATCATAAACCTGTGTGACTCTTACAAGCACTTCTGGTCAATGGAAACTTCGGGCTACTGTACTCAGCTTCCACAGATTTAATGACTAATAAGAGGTCTCATACTTTGGCAACCATTCTGAAATAATCTCAGTAGTCAGAAGCTCCTTGGATACACATGCCTCAAAGCCCCTCATTCAAGGAGAACTATGCAGTTCTGAAGTCAGTAAAAATATAACCATGAGAGTTACATTGTTCGGTTTTGAATCCTGGCCTGTGTGTGACCTTGATCAAGCTATTGTAGCTCTCTGCATATGCAGCTTCTCCTCTTTTAAGTGGAGAGAGTGTCAATACCTAGCCCAAGAACTGCTACAAAGTTTAAATGAATTAATATTAGTAAAATACTTAAGATGGATCCTGGAATACTATGCATGTACTCCATTAGAAAGAGACCTGTTTTGTCTGCTTCAGAAATATTCTTAATACTAAATATGGGGTCTGTTTCACTTATATTCAAATAGCATTTCCTAAAAGGTCATAAAAGTTCCATGGGCTGTCCATAAGAAGTCAGTTTACTACCCTCAGCAAGGTGAGAAAAAAAATCAGGCCAGTAAAGGTGGCATGTGTTTTTTCTTACAATGTGTCAAAGAGAAGCATTCAAATTAGAACAAACAAGATGCTTTAATACAGGGTCAGGAGAAAGGACCACTGTCCAGGAACGATGCAGAAAGCATTAATGCATATGAGGTGAGTGGAAATGGGTTCATATTATTGGGATTTATCATAGGATAATGAGTAGCCCCTAAAGGTTGTCTTAGTAGGGCAATGGCAAAACACTTGTGCATTTTGAACAAATAGATTTGGCAGCTTGTAGAAAAGTTATTCCAGGTGCAACAGGGTGAGAGCAGTCATGAAGATGGGGAATTCTGCTTAGTTGAGCAAATGAGATCATGCACTAAGACAATGGCTGGGGAGTGACTGGAGCAAGCAGGTTTTGAGACACTGAAAAGTAAGGCTGGAAACACCCTGGGACTGGGTGTTGGGGTAGAGGGGAAAATCAAACGTGGACAGATACTTTCATAGAAAATTGAGAGTTGCCACAAACCGTTTGAACCTCCCTCCAGTAATTAGTTTTTCTATGAAAATGGTTAATCATATATAAGGCCATAGTCATACTTTGGGGCAACATGTTTAAAGACATTAAATCAAATTTTAAAATAGTATTTTAGGGGCTAGTCTTGCCAAATTAGTTTTTTCAGGTTCAGTGATATACTTGGTCTCACAAAGTAAAGTGAAGAGTGATATATGAACTCACCCAACATTGACTATTGACTTCTGGCCTACACACACACACACACACACACACACACACACACACACACACACACACAAAATGCATGCACATATACACACACTCATATGCACATAAAAACTCCTCACTTAGATTTTAAAGCAAACTTTCAAATTGAATTTTGCAGCATAATTAATTTTGTTCAAAGTATTAATAGGGGCTAGAGAGATGAATCTTCAGTTAAGAGCACTTGTTGCTCTTGCAGAAGACTGTAATTCAGTTCCCAGTAACCACATAGTGGCTCACAACCATCTGTGAACCCCAATTTCATGATATCAGATGTCCATTTATGACCTCAGGAATCACCAGGCATGCATGTAATGTACATACATACATGCAGATAAAACACTAACAGACAAAATAAAATATTAATGTTATTATTAATTATATGATAGAGGCACACAGAGGAAGACAGAGACATGTGCTGTTAATCTGCATAGACCATTGATGAATGTATTCTCCACAGTCCTGAGTTTCTCGGAAATTCGGTTCTTTCCAGAGTGTGTCCTGTGTTTATTTATAGTGCTCTTTGCCTTTTCTTTTACTGTGTTCTTCATCTTCTCTCCTTGCATATCCTGTCTTTTACCTGCATATCCACAACTTGGGCAAATAACTTAGTATTCTGAGTTTTCTTTTTCTCCCTCAGGTTTATTAGTTTAATTAGAAATTTTGTGTAATGTATTTTGATCATACTCATCCTGCAACTCCTCCTACATACACTCACTGCATTCCTACCCACCCAACTCTGTGCCTTCATTTTTCATTTTCCAAATACAGCTAATGCTGCAAGACCACACTTGGATGTGTGGCCTTCCACTGGTGGACAGTTGGCCTACCAGGAGTCATATCTCAAAGAAACTTGACTTTCCCAAGAGCTATCAAATGTCAAAGCTCCTCAGCTAAGTAGGGGTGACACTTCATGCCCACCTTCCCTTTTCACAGTAGGATTTTGTCTGGCATGAGTTTGCACAGGTCTTGTGCCCGCTGTTACAACTATTATGAATTAATTTGTACAACTTCTCTACTGTACCCAGAAGACACTGTTTCCTTGTACACACCTAATATCGTTGGCTTTTGTAACACTTCTGCTCCCTCTTCTAAAACAATCCCTGTTTTGGGAGGAGTGGGTGTAATATAGACGTTCTGTTTAGGGCTAAGTATTCTGCAGTTGCTTATTCACTGTGTCTTGGGTTTCTGTGCTAATCACCATCTACTGCAGAAATAAATATCTGTGATGAGGCTGAGATATGCGTTAATCTGTGTGTATAATGAGAGTGAACTTTAATTTCATTTTCCTAAGCCTTTGTTTTCTTCTGAGTGCATTAGCCTATTAGACCTTATAAAATCTTGCATGGTCATACAGATTTCAGGTTGGACATCAAATTATTTATAACTTTTTCCGCAAGCAGTTAACTATATGAATATTTTGATGTGTTTTCAGGCT